GTTTGCAGTGTGAAGAAATGTTCAGAAAAAGGGAAAAKTTTGGCCTACGATTTTCTCTCAATTTTTGGTGCACCATATCGATATAGCCACGAGAATGTCTTGATGGCGTTGCATGTGATGATTCTTCAGCTCGTAATGACACTGTTAAAAACGCACTGCGCATGTCCATAGCTTTCCCGCCATCRAGCGCTCGCGTCTTGAAATCTGTAAACAGACCGCCTGGCGATTTACAGCGACAACACAGAAAACGCTACGAAAAACCTCATTTTCTCAAAATAGAAATGACAAGATAAAAGTAGAAACTACATACTAGGACCTATCATGAACAATGATTGATGGATATATGAATCTTATATATCGGTGAACGAGCTTATTATAAATTGTAAAAAACGTTCACAAAAATCRCTTTACAAAGGAAATTAGGCAGATTTCAGGTGGAAAGCTGTTGACATGCGCAGTGCGTTTTTCACCAGTGTCGCTGGTAATCCCTATAAACTTAGGGGCTTAGCAATATTTAAGGAGGCTGGAAATGGTTACCAGAAAATGCATATACGCCTATACTACTTTGAATTAAATTTAAAAAAATCATTTATAAGTGAAATAAACTTTTTCGCCTTCATTTCATTTCTTCAACCGATTTAATTGAAGTAAATTTAAGATCATGTGCTCTGTCATGTCCTGTCCGCCATTTTGAAGAAATCCCTGGGAACCAGAGTGATCGTTGGGCTTCCTGTGACGGACAGACGTCATAATTGCGTAATACATATATAATTCGTAKKGAAGAGATCGTGCGATATTTCATTCTTAAATTTGCAGCAGTTTATTCAGGTATCAGAAAAGCAGTTAAAAATGTCTCCTACCAAAACCAGTCAACTCAGATCTCAGTGGCAAACAGAAGCAGAGAAAGAGACAGAATCGGAAAAAATTATGCGAAAGAGCAGAGAGCAGCCTTTCATCCCCATAGGTAAAGRACTTCATTTCATGTTGTATTAACTTTTTATCGGAAAGAAATAGCACGATCTTCAAAGATGACTTCCAAATCAAATAGCATATTGCAGGAAATGCTAGTACACAGTTTGAAACATTCTTGAACGTCAGACTTTTATTTTTAGGTGTTTTTAATATAACTTCAGTATTTATTATAAACTTTATTGTATCTTATATAATTTCTTAATTTTCCAGTCAATTTGAAAACAAAAAAAATTGGTCTTAAAAATAGGTTTTCATTTTTGCTTTTGTGTGGTTCGAATACAATTTGAAAATGTTCAAACGTGATGTGTATACTGCAACGACGTGACAACTCTCACGAAGTCTACAGTTGCTAAAATCAGGAATGCGGAAAGAAGGAATACGGGGAATGGGGCTGAGATAAAAAACCCTAGTACAAGTAGGTCCCCAATTGTATATATGGAGTTGGTCAATAAATGAAAAATAATGTTTTTTAAACGTGATCTCATCAATGATGAAATCAATACGCATTTCCTATTTACTTATATGCTCAGCAAATAGAAAATTCATTATTAAACATCTGGAAAAACCAATTTGATTCATTCGGTTTTTCTCAACAAGTTTTCTTGTGACGCCTTTGTGATACAATGTACCAGAAAAAAAACTATAGCCATGTTAAATTGTACAATTTTTAAAACTCAGTAAGTTGAAATAGAGAGAGAGAGAGAGAGAGAGGGAGAGAGAGAGAGAGAGAGAGCAGAAAACCTATAAATTCTTAGTTCATTTTAATAAAGAGGATTGCTGGCCATTCTAATCACCATTTTGGATCCTCACAGGGGTACTGAATATCAGAAAACAGAGAAACCTAAAACATTTATTTTGCATGAATTAATAGCTAAGTGTCTCTTAGTTTTAGATTACAAGCCTTAAAATGTAATGTTGATATTTTTCTTTGTTGTTTTACCTCATTAATATTCACATTCGTTATAATCAAAACAGTTGAGTCCAGGCCCCAGAGTAAGTTTCAATAATTGTAGCTATTCTGGCAGCTATTCTTTTCGAGTAAGAAGCAGGCAAGCAAACGGCAATGCAATGCATGAAGGTGCTAATTTTGTATTGTGTAATCCATCCATCTCATTGGTTAAAACATTAAAATCTGACACAATTTCAAAAGTAATCGCATTTTTTAATATTTTATTTAATATCTGATTCTAACTTCATAAAAGCTTTCCTTAGCTTTAATATTAATAGCAATTCTATGTGGGGAACATAGCAAATTAGAAGCATTTTTTGGCTATTGTTTTGAGTGCTTATGATTGGACAAGATCTTTTAATACAAAAGAAACGTTTTTTCAAAACAGAGTTTATAGTCCACATTTTATTTTATAAATCTGTTACCCATAGGTTGATACATAATCAGTGTGAAAACCAAGACATTCGTATGTGGGGAAGTTGCAATTGCCGCAGAACAATAGAACCGTTGCCTGATTTTTGCGCGCATTGTTACTTAATAACATTGTTAACAACAGCATTAATAACATTGGGATGATACTGATCGTGAAATGGTTGTCCACCTGAAAGGCGGGACTCTATATTATTCCTTCTTCAAGCATTTTTGAAATTCTACATGAACAATAAAAAATGTTCCACTCGCAGAAACTGAATATATATCTAGGATATTACATGGGTGCGTGGAGATACGTGAGAGATTTTCAACAATTCGTATCTCCAAGTGAACATGTTATGTTATTTATGATGTAATTGTATATGAAAGCAAATTATGTCATAAAATAGCTTTTTTCTTACTTCCACTATATTGAGAAACTTCTAATGTGTTATTTTCACTAGTGAAAATATCAAGTTTACGAAATGGAGAAATAGAGGATATTACATGGGCACGTGGAGATATGGATTTTATCTTTGAGTGTTGAAAAGATCTCTCACGAATGAGCGTAGCGAGGTTCCTCTATATAGTGGAAGTAAGAAAAAGGGTATTTTAAGGCATAATTTGCTTTCGTATGTAATTATATGATAAACAGAATGCGAACGAGAGATTTTTCAACATGAGAAGATAAGATCCGTATCTCCGCGCGCCCATGTAATATCCTCTATATATCAAGACACTACTGATTCTAGCATTGTCTTCCAAAATCGGCTGAACTTCATCTGACTTTATGTCTGACTTWAGCTTAGTAATCTAATATCGCAAAAATGATATTTGTTAACATGACAACTCAACACGATGTTTACTCGTGCTATTAAATGCATCATGCCATACTTCAATTTTCTTGTTAGTCCTCTCATTACAAGTGCGAACTTGAAATGCCTTGGTCGAGGAGA